TCCTCCCTCCTGGCTTCTCGGCTCTTCACTCTTTTCCCTTTCTTTTTCCCAGCAGACGCCGCCTGCCCTGCAGCCATGAGGCCCCCGCGGTGTCCCCTGCACATGCCTTCCCTGGCTTCCCCACTCCTTCTCCTCCTCCTCTGGCTCCTGGGAGGAGGGATGGGGGCTGAGGGCCGGGAGGATGCAGAGCTGCTGGTGACAGTACGTGGGGGCCGGCTGCGGGGCATTCGCCTGAAGGCCCCTGGGGGCCCCGTCTCTGCTTTCCTGGGCATCCCCTTTGCGGAGCCACCTGTGGGACCCCGTCGCTTTCTGCCACCGGAGCCCAAGCAGCCCTGGCCAGGGGTGCTGGACGCTACAACCTTCCAGAGTGTCTGCTACCAATATGTGGATACCCTGTACCCGGGTTTTGAGGGCACTGAGATGTGGAACCCCAACCGTGAGCTGAGCGAGGACTGCCTCTACCTCAACGTGTGGACGCCACACCCCCGGCCTACATCCCCTGCCCCTGTCCTCGTCTGGATCTATGGGGGTGGCTTCTACAGTGGGGCCTCCTCCCTGGACGTATACGATGGCCGCTTCTTGGTGCAGGCCGAGAGAACTGTGCTGGTGTCCATGAACTACCGGGTGGGAGCCTTTGGCTTCCTGGCCCTGCCGGGGAGCCGAGAGGCCCCGGGCAATGTGGGTCTGCTGGATCAGAGGCTGGCCCTGCAGTGGGTGCAGGAGAACGTGGCAGCCTTCGGGGGGGACCCAACATCAGTGACACTGTTTGGGGAGAGCGCGGGTGCCGCCTCGGTGGGCATGCACCTGCTGTCCCCACCTAGTCGGGGCCTGTTCCACAGGGCCGTGCTGCAGAGTGGTACCCCCAATGGGCCCTGGGCCACGGTGGGTGTGGGAGAGGCCCGCCGCAGGGCCACGCTGCTGGCCCACTATGTGGGCTGTCCACCTGGCGGCACAGGTGGGAATGACACAGAGCTAGTAGCCTGCCTTCGGGCACGACCAGCGCAGGACCTGGTGAAACACGAATGGCACGTGCTGCCTCAAGAAAGCGTCTTTCGATTCTCCTTCGTGCCTGTGGTGGATGGAGACTTCCTCAGTGACACCCCAGAGGCCCTCATCAACGTTGGCGACTTTCATGGCCTGCAGGTAACCAGTGACTGGCAGGGATGAAGCTGGCTCCTCTGGGCCCCCACAGCCCTTCCCCTCCCTTCCCTGAAGGGACCCAGGCATCAGGGCTTCTCCAGGCCCATTCCCAGAAGTCCTCCCAAAGGTTGTCCCTGAGGGCCCAGATCCCAGGGTGGTCAGCGGGGCAGACAGGAAAGGCTCCATGGGTCTATTTTCTCTTTCTCTGCGCCCCTCCCCTGATCTCAGCCTCTCTCCATCCATGGTTCCAGGTCTGTAACTGTTCATCTCTCTGGCTCTTTGTCTGTCCATCTGTTTCTGTCTACCTGTCCGTCTACACCTGTCCCTCCATCCCATCCTCCTCTCCCTCACCCCCAGGTGCTGGTGGGTGTGGTGAAGGATGAGGGCTCGTATTTTCTGGTTTACGGGGCCCCAGGCTTCAGCAAAGACAACGAGTCTCTCATCAGCCGGGCCCAGTTCCTGGAAGGGGTGCGGGTCGGGGTCCCCCAGGTAAGTGACCTGGCGGCCGAGGCTGTGGTCCTGCATTACACAGACTGGCTGCATCCTGAGGACCCGGCGCGCCTGAGGGAGGCCCTGAGTGATGTAGTGGGCGACCACAATGTCGTGTGCCCCGTGGCCCAGCTGGCTGGGCGACTGGCCACCCAGGGTGCCCAGGTCTACGCCTACGTCTTTGAACACCGTGCCTCTACGCTCTCCTGGCCCTTGTGGATGGGGGTGCCCCACGGCTACGAGATCGAGTTCATCTTTGGGATCCCCCTGGACCCCTCTCGAAACTACACCGCAGAGGAGAAAATCTTTGCCAAGCGACTGATGCAATACTGGGCCAACTTCGCCCGCACAGGGTCAGCAGTGGAGACGGGGAGGAGGCTGGGGAGGACAGGAATGGGGGCGGGTCACAGAGAGAGGCAGACACACAGAGATGGAAGGACAGTGGGACAGGGCAGGACAGGAAAGCTGGAGGCGGACATGCTCACAAGGGAGACAAAGGGGGAAGGAGAAAGAGAAAGGAGACAGAGGCAAAGGAAAGTGAGAAGATGTAGACACAGAGAGGCCGGGCATGGTAGCTCACCCCTGTAATCCCAGCCCTTTGGGAGGACAAGGTGGGAGGATCTCTTGTGGCCAGGAGTTTAAGACCAGCCTGGACAATATAACAAGACCTTACCTCTTAAATATATATATATATATATAAACACACATACACACACACAAAACTTAACCAGGAACGGTGGCTGGTGCCTGTAGTCCCAGCTACTCGGGAAGCTGAGGCAGGAGGATTGCTTAAGCCTGGGAGGTTGAGGCTGCAGTGAGCTATGATGGCGCCACTGCACTCCAGCCTGAGCAACAGGGTAAAACCCTGTCTCTGAAAAAAAAAAAAAAAAATCAGGAGACCAAGACAAAGGAGTTCGAGCTGGATTAAGTCAAACCAGTGATGATTCACCACCAGTGACACATTCGCACACACACACGAATTTACTTGGATCAAGAGGACAATGAAATCTGGCATCAGGTGGTGTTACAATCTGATGTTTGTAGACCTGCGACTTGTCCTGGTCCTGGTTACTTAGGAAGGGCTCAAGACATCCTAGCCATTTTTTTAGTGGGAGAAACAAAGATGAAACAGAAAAGCTGAGGGAAATGGAGAGGAGACAGGGAGCACAGGAGGAAGGGAAGACCCCAATGACCCTGGGGACATTGGAGAAGGGAAAGGAGTGACTTGGTGGTGGGAGGGAGAGGACGGGCTCTCTGTCGTTCTCTGCAGAGCTGAAGAGTCCAGGATCCCGTGGGAATGGGGGCTGCCTCCTCCCACTGCCCATATGGGCTGAGCCTTCCCTTTTTTCCGCAGGGACCCCAATGAGCCCCGAGACCCCAAGGCCCCGCAGTGGCCCCTGTACACAGCGGGGGCGCAGCAGTATGTGAGCCTGGACCTACGGCCACTGGAGGTGCGGCAGGGGCTGCGCGCCCAGGCCTGTGCCTTCTGGAACCGCTTCCTCCCCAAATTGCTCAGCGCCACCGGTATGAAGGGGCCAGTGGGCAGCAGCTGGGAGGAGGGGAGTGGGAACCAGCCAGGTGTAACCCCTCTCTTCTCCCCCTAGCCTCGGAGGCTCCCAGCACCTGCTCAGGCTTCACCCATGGGGAGGCTGCTCCGAGGCCCGGCCTCCCCCTACCCCTCCTCCTCCACCACCTCATCCTCCTCTTCCTCTCCCAGCTTCTGCGGCTGTGACCACGGCCTCTTCCCTCCGGCCACAGGGGTCCCTCCTCTAATGAGTGGTCGGACCGTGGGGAAAGGCCCCACTCAGGGATCTCAGACCCAGCGCCTCCTCCCTCCTCAAGCCAAGACAGGGCAGGAGGAGGGGGCCGTGCCTCCCACCCGTCTCAGGGAACCCCACGCCTTTGTTGTTTGAATGGAAATGAAAAAGTTAATATTCTTTTATAAAATTATCTTTTGGAGCTTAAGCCTGACACTGAGGGACAGAGGGGGGCCCAGGCTGAATAGTATCTCTCCCCCATTGGGGTTATGACGGTCAACCATTTCTGTCTCTTCTTTTTCCCCCAACCTCCCCCTCCTGGTTCCCTCTGTCCCCCTGCCTCCGGTCATTCTTTTCTCCTCCCCTCTCCTTCCTGCTGTCCTTCTGGCCCCGCCTCTGCCCTCATCCTCCCTCCCGTCTTTCGCACATTCTCCCGATCCTCTTGTCACCGTCCCACGTGGTCGCCTGCATTTCTCCGTGCGTCCTCCCTGCACTCCTGCTCCCCCTCCCTCCCACGTCCGATCCCCGACCTTCTTCGTGCCGTCCTTCCCCCCACCCCTCCCCGGCCTCGCCGGGCGCCCTGGCCGCAGACACCCTCGACGAAGCGGAGCGCCAGTGGAAGGCCGAGTTCCACCGCTGGAGCTCCTACATGGTGCACTGGAAGAACCAGTTCGACCACTACAGCAAGCAGGATCGCTGCTCAGATCTGTGACCCCGGCGGGACGCTCCCGTCCCCCGCTCCGCCCGGCCCCCTAGCTGTATATACTATTTATTTCAGGGCTGGGCTACAACACAGACGAGCCCCAGACCCTGTCCATCCCCACCCCACCCCCGACGTCCCCCGGGGCTCCCCGTCCCCTGCATGTCTCGGGCTGAGCTCCCACCCCCGCGGTGCCTTCGCCCCTCCGGGCTGCCAATAAACTGTTACAGCCACGGGAGTGTGCGCGACTAGGGAGCCGGGAGTAGGGGGCAGAACGCCGGAATCACGGGGTCCGCGTCTATGCAGGCGCGGGACCGGAGGGCGAGGAAGCGGGGCGCTCCGAGGCGGGCGCAAGGCGCCTGCGCACTCCGGCCCAGGCTAGTCCCTGGCCCCGCCCCGTGGGGCAGAGCTCGCGCCTGCGAAGTGAGGCTCGCGGGCCGGCAGGCGGGCACGGCGGAGGGGAGGGCAAAGCCCTGCGGAGCATTGTGGGAGTCCTTGCCCGTGGCCTCTGCTTGCTGCCTGTGCTGATCACCGAGGCCCGGGGAGCGTGTCCCCAGCCTGCGCGCCGGTCCTGCCGCACCTAGCCCAAGACCCGAAGCCGAGGGGAAGTGCTGGAGTCTGGGGTCGTTCCGCGCCACCGGGTGGACGCTGTACCCGGCCTGGGACTGCCCCTCCCGCCTACCGCCCTGGAGCTGCTGAGGGACGTCCACGTGGGCCTGGCCCCGCCGAGCCGCGGCCCTGCCCGCCTGGCGCTGCTCTCGGGCCACTACCTCTACTACCACTACGGCTGCGACGGCCTGGATGACCGCGGTTGGGGCTGTGGCTACCGCACTCTGCAGACGCTGTGCTCGTGGCCGGAGGGCCAGCCCGTGGGCGTACCTGGACTGGCCGCCGTGCAGGCGGCCCTGGAGGACATGGGCGACAAGCCCCCCGGCTTCCGGGGTTCCCGGGACTGGATCGGCTGCGTGGAGGCCAGCCTGTGCCTCGCTCACTTCGGAGGGACCCAGGGGCGCCTCTGCCACGTGCCCCGGGGAGCGGGGCTGCACGGGGAGCTGGAGAGGCTTTACTCCCATTTCGCAGGGGGCGGGGGCCCAGTCATGGTTGGGGGCGACGCGGATGCCAGGTCTAAGGCCTTGCTGGGAGTCTGCATCGGGTCAGGCACGGAAGCCTATGTCCTGGTATTAGACCCTCACTACTGGGGCGCTCCAAAAAGCCCCAGTGAACTACAGGCTGCTGGGTGGGTGGGCTGGCGAGAGATGAATGAGGCCTTTGACCCCAACTCTTTCTACAACCTGTGCTTGACCAGCCATAGCTCAGAACCGCAACAGCACCCCCTGGACTGAGGGTGAAGTTCAGAACTGAGACTCTCCAGTCCCAGACATGCACCTGTGTACCTGGGGCTGGTGCCCCCGCAGAGCCTGGGCCTTTTGACAGCAGTAATAAAAGTGGCAGGGCTGAGCAACACCTCGGGAATTCCTTTCGAAGGATGGGGGCGACATGTAACATACATGAGTCAGAAGCCCTGTGGAAGTGCTTTTATTGGCAGTAAGGCTGATCGTACAAAAAATTCTCAAGAGTTGGAGGGAACCAGGTAGTCACAAGTAAAGGATGATACAGGAGTGAGGAAGTGAGGAACAGTGACAGTTCAAAAGAAATCAACGTCGTCTGGGGCATCCAGGTCCCGATATTCCACAATGGCCCTTGGGTCTCCACGAACCATCCTGTGAGATGAGAGGTAAAGTATGAGAGCTGAGGGCCCCCAAAAGGGAGTTTGCAGGGGCAACAAAGCCTGGGCGCGTGCGCTCCGCCTCACCTGTTGCGAGGTTTCCCAGGATAACCTCCCTGGCCTCGGAAGGCATCGTAGTTCCCTCGGCCAGCACCATACGGGGCGTGGGGATATGGAGGGCCTCCTGTGGGGACTGCAGGGCGGACAGCACCAGCTATGACAGAGATCAGCGTTGAGTTGCAAAACTATGTCCTCAACTCCATCCTCTGTTTCTTTCTCCCTTTCGCCCAATGTCACACTCACCAAGCCCCTTCATCTCCCTCCTCTACTTACCTCCATAGCCCAAGATCGGAGGCCGGGGCTGACCGTAGGGCATCAGGCCCTGGGGAGTCTGGTGTGGGTAGGGGAGTCCCGGGGTCAAACCTGGGGGGAGTACAACAGGGACAGGGACGTGAATTACTGCGGGGGGGGGAGGGGTGGGAACAACTGACTTTTAGGGCTATGGCCTGAGGATGAGGCAGAAACTTCTCAGGCCAACAGGTAAGAGAAACAGGAGTCCCTGGACAGTCAAGGGACGGGGGACATGTGACCCTCATGGATCGTATCTTACTCTGGGCAGGGCCAGGTGGCTGGGCTGGCTTGATCTCAGGCAGAGCTGGGCGCTTGGCATCAGTGAGGAAGTTGTTAAAAAACGCAACCTCCTTTTTCACTTCCTCAATTTTCTCAGCATGCTTGTTGAAGATATGCTTGCGCACAAACTCAGGACCCTGAGTGGAGAGAGGAGCGGGGTCACAACAGCCACATAACACTTGCCTCGATCACAGGCCCGACCTGAAAGGATTCCCAGCTCCCACCTGCCAGTCTAGTGAGCAGTCCTCAACTCCCACCCCAGCCCAGGCCTTTAGGGGCTTCCTGTCTCAGCCCCACCTCCCACCACCCTGGCACGCCCATTCTCCAACATCCAGACCTTGAATTTCTTGCCGCTGAGAGGACACAGCCACTTATCCTTGCCCAGTTCCTGCGTGTTGGAGGTAACGAATTTCTCCACTTCCTGCTCTGGGTCTTTGCGGCCCATCTTCTGGGCCTCTTCCTCTGAAAGCGACTCCCGCACACTGAGCAATGGCGTGAGCTTCTCCTCAAACGTCTTCTGCCACTCCAGCACTATGGTTTGGGAACAGAGGAAGGAAAGTTGGGAAGGGAGCTGGAAGGAAGGGTGGGAGGGGCTGGAGGACCAAGGCAAGAGGCAGCCAGGGAGAAAGGGGAACCTGGAGCTCACCTTCCCCATGACTGATGCGGTTGGGTGGCATGGGCCCCCGAACGTGGATGATGCCACAACGATTGGGCATCTCGTCCTCGTTGGGGTACTCACAGGTGTTGTAATAATCCAAGGAATGCACAATGCGCAGGTAGAGGAGAAGCTTGTCCAATACCTGAGTTGAGTATGGGTGCTCAGCTCCTGCTCCTGCCCTTACCACCCGACCCCCACATCCCTGTGCAGCCACTGCTGGCACCTTGATCAGCTTCTCATCCCGCTCCACATTGATCTCTGCCGGGTTCCCTTCCTTAGGAGGCTCCTCAGGTGGGGCACCCCCGCTGCTCCCCAGCAGCTCCTCCTCCTCAGCACTCACTTCCTCGATCAGGTAGTCTGTGATATTCTTCAAGATCGGGTTTTGCGAGGGCAGGCTCTGGTGGAAGGAAGAGGGGCAAGTAAGGCAGAGAAAGACCTTCAGGGCAGGTAACCTGAGACCTTCCGAATGTGAAGAGTGGTGAGGGGACAGGAGTTCACCAGACAGAACTGGTGCCTTTTGCCCCCTTGGGATTTGTCTTCATTTTTGCCTTTGTTCCACCCCAGCCCACAAATGACCACTAGCATGCCCCAGTTCTGCTGGAAGCTGGAGGAGGTGCTACAGACAGGTGAGGTTAGAGGTACCCACAGCAGAGGAGGTGCTATCAGCTGCCCCTGACAGTCCTGCGGGAGTCACTGACCGTTGGCGGGGGAGGCGTCCCTGGCTCCGAGGCCCACAGCTGGGTCCTGTCGTCCAGCGTGTGGACCAGCTTGGCTGCCAGCTTGATGTCATTGCGCACGATCTGCTTGTGCTGGGTGATGCCGTTGATGTTACGGACACGTCGGGTCAGGTCCCTGTTCACACCGGGGCTCAGCTCGCACTCCCGGAGCTGGAGGGCAGACATCAGAAGTTTACTCCACTAACCCCACTTGCCAGGGAGACGTAGCAGCTCTAAGACCCTCCCCTCTTGAGTACCAGCGATCGATCAACCTGTAAGCTCCCTCAGGACCGGGACCTGACAGGTAGGTCCTGTCTTTGTCTGCCTACATTGCCTACGTTGCCTCTGGGCAAGGCTCTAGGGCAGTTACCAGGACAGATAGGTTAGCCTCCCACTCTCTTCCCCAGACAGTCCCACCCGCAATACTCACACGGATGTTCTGCAGATTCCAACAGATCTCTTTAATGTTAACACTGCGGTCAAAGGTCACCCAGCCACGACGGAAAAACCTACAGAAGAAAATGTTAGGGCAGTCAAGCGAGGGAGGTGGTGCTGGCCATCAACGTTCCCCTGCACTTTTTCCTCCAACACACCTGGTTACTCACCTCCTCTCTGGCTGGGGCTCTGAGAGTGCCACCCGCATAAAGCCTGGGTACCTTTTACAAAGCTGCAAGAAGCAGAAAACCAGCCCTATTTAGTGACTCAAGGATTCATTCGATTCTTCCTCCAATCCCCCACTGTCCTCAGAACCCTAGAGACTAACTGCCTGGTCACTCTTCCCATCCTTGAGCAGGGCAAAACCACTGAAGGGCTTCAGAACACCAGCATCTGAAAGCCAATGGCATGATCAAGACGAGCCCTCAGAGGGCATGAGCTCCTGGGGAAGGGGCCCTCCCTATTAGGTGAAACGGGGGCCCCACTGCCTTCCCTCTGCTCTCCACTTCTCCCCACTCACAGAGATGATCTCAGCCCGGGAGATATTGGGCGCAATGTTACGCATGAAGAGGGAGCAGGTCTTATGCAGCGGCCGCGGCTTGCACTCCAGCCCCGCAGCGTCCTTGGGCTTCTCCCATTCTTCCTCCTTGGGCTTCTCTTTCTCCTTGAGCGCTGCTTCTAGGCAGGAAGTTGGTGCAGTAGGAGTTGGTGTGTTTTTATTGCTGATTTTGGTGGGGAGGACAGAGAAGCCTTCCCCTAGAAGCGACCCTTCCCCCATCAATGTTGCCAACCTCTCACTTCCCCACCAGCATTAGGAGAATACACTTTTTAGAAGCAGAAAAGAAGTCCTACCAGCCTCCTCCTTCTCCTCCTCAGCCTGGCCGCTCTCAGATTCCGACTCAGACTCCGACACACTGCCCTCGTCAAAGCTGTCATCCCCGCTGTGCTTCCGGTTCCGCTTCTTGCTACTCTGTGTGAGCCATGGCAGAGGGGACAAGTTAACGCACCAGGAACCCAGCCCTGATGCTCTGACCCCAAGTTACAGACACCTCACCTTTTTGGCTTCCTTCTCAGAATCTTCTTTCTTCTCCTCCTTGTCTCCGTCACCCTCAGACTTCGTTTTGTCATCATTACAACTGTCATTCTCGGCCTACGGAAAGAGACAGTCACTAGGGATGTCAAATGTCCCCTTCCCCTTTCATCAGAGGGCTCCTCACCCCACCGCTGAGCCCACAGGTTCATTCTGCCCACCCTTCCCAGAACACAGCCTCCCAGTTCTAGTTCTTTTGGAGCCCTGCCCCCAATTCTCCTTCCCCCAGGCTGCCGGGACAGTGCTAGGAGGCCCAGGACTCAGACCTGCTTGCCGTCCTCCTTCTTCTCATCCTTCTCGTTGGCTTTGCGCTCCCCGTCTGTCAAGCCTGCTCCAGCACGGCCTTCCTCTTTCTTGCCAGGATCCCCGGGCTTTCCTGCCTGCTCCTCCTCCTCCTCCTGCTCCAGGATGCGGAGATCATTCTCTGTGCCTCCTTCCATCTTAATCACGGCTACCAACAAAGGGAACAGAGATCACAACCCCAGGGCCCTAGCTCCTGTCAACGCACTTCTACCTGGTCCCCAGACATGCCCACCCCCATGGAGCCCAGATGCCTGCCACCCCTCCAACTCCACACACCTGCATCCAGCATCTTGACAATGGCATCAGCTTTGTCTATGTCCAAGAGAAGGTTATCAAACCAGCCAGTCTCCATGAGGGACAGGAAGACCCTCAGTCGGTTTTGCAGGGCCCCCCGGGCCTCCTGCCGACGTTTCCCCACCTCATCTGGGTGGTACTTAGACCGAAACCTGGGAACGAAGCGGGGGAGGGAAAGGCAAAACAGTCACTGGAGGCCAAGGCCAGCATGTGGGGAGGGGCCCAGGAAAGACAGGGCATAGCCCCCATCCTCACACCCACAAAGGGTCATCAAAGTAGAGAGATTAGGGGATAGGGGTGTGCTAAAACCACCCAACACCCCAAAAGAAACCGGAAGTGGTGCTCTTGAGAAGATTTGGGGGGAGAAGCAGCAACTAAGAGCTCTGGATTTGGGAAGATCAATGACTACAGGGGACGCCGGGGTTGGAGAGGCAGATTTACCACTCTAAGTCTCTGGGAAACACTAACCTAGTGAAAAGGTGTCATTTCCCAAAGCTTCAGAGAGGAAGGCTCAGGAAATAGTAGGCCCTGAAGAACCTCTCTCCTCACCAACCCCAAACTGCAGTCATTAACAGCCTGCTCCCGCCAACTCCCTCCACCCCAAGGTGGA